CGTAAGAATTTACGAAGCGTTGAATTTTTTCCAGAAGGGAGTTTTTGCACCTACTATGCATTTGGATTGTTATGTTTGAAATGACCATTCTAACCCTTCAAGGTTCAATGCCATACTACATGTTCTTAATATGGCAGACAATGTAACGTACTTACCTATCAGGACACAACCGTCGTCATCATCTCAACACGTGATAAATGCAATAGTTCATATTAATGATAACCATTATATAAACGTGGTACTAACCGGAGAATATCAAATGCCCACACGTACGCACCATTAGACGCGTTGTCGACTTCAATATGCAAGTACATGGATTGTCTCGTATTAACATAGATTCAATGTATACCAAGAACATATAGAGCATCTTGTACTTGTAGATATGTTGATTTAACATGAAAATTTTAATTAATTTTATATAAATAATCAAAGTCTTTAAAATATTATAATTTATTGTTATTAATATAAAGTTAGTTAATTTATATAATTATGGTATAGATTAGGAATTAAAATTTTATCATGATATATTTGTATACAAATAGATAATTAAAAATACGCATGCTTAATATTTTATTAATCAATAATAAAATAAAGTTAATTAATTTATATAACTATAGTATAGATTAAAAATTAGAACCATAAGAGATATAATATGGAAATGTTAAAAAATTTAGAGGATTAAACTTAAAAATATCAAAGGGTTAAAACTGAAAAACAAAAGCGATGCCTGATTAGTTTGAGTTTGACTACAAGGGTAAAAGTATCAGGATGTCTTAGATTCAAATCTAAGGAGGAATAAAAATCCGTTTGTGGCCACGGAGGTTCAAATGCAGTGACTCCGGACTATCTGCAAAGCAGGTGGTCGTCCTATGATTAATCGGCTCGTATAACGAGTAGGATATCCAGGTTAATAAAAAAAATAGAGGAAAAAATAAAAAGAAGGTGTGGATAGAATAATTCTTTAATATCTATGATATTAAAAATAGTACATGTTTTTTGTCCCTGGGTTGTTAATGATGAAAAATCATGATTTTCATCATTTTGGTTTAGAAGTTTTTGGTTTAGAAGTTATGATTTTAGTTCTTATAATTTGCAAGTCATTATTACTTTCGTTCCCGAGACTATGGGTCTGCAGGCACTGCTTGTGTCAAACGGGTTTGAGTAGGCAAACAAAAAATCCAATCAGATTTCAGATATGGAAACTAACCCCAAATTTTGGCTTTCAAACTTTAAATTGCTTTGGGTTGGGGTTGATCAGGTTTTGGGTTGAGATCGGTTGGATTTGGATATAGTTATAAACTTATAATGCAATATATATATATATATATATATATATATATAGAGAGAGAGAGAGAGAGAGAGAGAGAGTTGGGTTCACGTGAGACCAAAGGTTTTTCGTGAGACCCGTAAGACCAATTTATGTTCATTGATCAATTTTATAAGTTAATGATCTAATGGTCTAAAGTTGTACGGTGACAATTTTGTGATTATTGAGAAGTCTCGTGACAATTTTGTGATTATGAATTTTGAAATTGTAGATCTAATCCAAGGGTTGAGAATTGGCTTTATGGGTCTCACGAAAAACTATTTGTTTTACATGCCCTACCTAAACCTAACTTATATCTTTAAGTTTAAGGGACAAAACATAAACTAATTACAAAACACAAGAACTAAAATAACAATAGATTATATATTATAGAGAAAAAAATAATAATAAAAATTATAAATAGTAGGAAAAAAAACGAATATAAAAATAGCATTTTTAAAATCAGAGGGACCAAAACCGTAATTTACTTTAAAAAACACTTTAAAAGAAAGTGTTGACCTCTTCTTTATTCGTTTATTTGTTCGAGGTTGTTCCTTTTCCATCTCCATGCCACCTTCCTAGACCCCATACTCCCATCCCATGTTATACGTTATTTAAATTTTTAAAATAAAGGAAAATTTAAATAAATAAAAAATTGATTTTTATTTTGGACAATATATTTTTAAAATTTTCATTTTGGTATTTAAAATATAAAGTTTTAAACATTTAAATATCGGATAACCGATTGAATACTAACTTTAGATTAAAAAAATTATGTCACTAACGACGTACGCAAATAATAATAAGTTGGATACCACATCACTCGACACATTAACATGATAACATGTTAATGCTTCAACTGGTTACCCGATGCTTAAATGTTTAAAACTTTACATCTTAGGTGCTAAAATGAAAGTTTTGAAATTACATTACTAAAAATAAAAATCAAGTTAAACGACGTTATTTTTTCATACAATTTATTCTAAAATGAAACGAGTGTTTATATTATCGTTTTAGTTTGCATTTTAAAATAAAAATTTAAATTTTAAGAGTAATGTCTATGTTTTTTTTACCTTTAATTATGAGATATAAAAAATGTCTAAAGATGTAGTTTTATCGATTAAAAAATGCAATAATTTTGTATTACTAAAATTTTATGTATTTTTTACGGTGTACATTTATTTTGGTATTGATGAATGTATAATAAAAACCAATTGTTATAAAATATAAAACCAAAAACAAATGACTTTATAAAATCTATAAAAGGAAAATTTTGAGTTACTATGAGATTAAGGATGGGGATGTGCCCCAACCCGATGGGGAACCCGGCTCACCCGACCTAAACGGAGATTCCCCACTAAAACAAGTCACGGAGCCGGGGATCCCCGGTAGACTCAAACCAGGGACGAGGGATGTTACTCAAACCAGGGATCTCCATTAGACTCAAACTAACGTATATTTTTCATAAGTTTTAACCGGGGTTTGATCGGGGACGGGATGTTAATCCTCATACCTACCGGGGGATATTACTAAAAACCGGGGTCGGAGGTGGGGATTACAAAATCCGCCCCATCCCCAACCCGTTGCCATGCTTAAATGATGCTCGTAATATCTTAAATATGTTCAACGATTAATAATATTTGCAAAATACACTTGTCATTTTTTTAGTTATATAAATGAAATGGCCCTTCTATATTTCAACTCTCCTCTATGTTCTTTGAAGATTTTCAACAAAACCTTGTCCTCCGTCGAGACTCAGACCACTTGCAAATCCCTATCGTTCGTCGTTATTTCTCAACATTCGAAGCTGATTGTATCTAATGAAATCTGCAGTAGAAAATTGTCTTCCCTTAATGGTTAACATTTTTCAGGTATTTGAAGAAACTTTTAACATAATCGAAATTAATAAAACGGGATACTTACACATAAAGATTGTAACATTACTTGAAGTTGTAGTATATGAGTAAACAGATTTCGAAGGATTCTCATCGGAGTTTGATTGGCTCTGATAGATTTGACGCCCATATGACCTATCACTGACTTGTGCTAGTGACCTAGTGTCGCACCCTAGGTTGTGTATGATGCACGAAAACATTGGTTTTCGACGCAGTGACCCATACTTTAATGAAAACACAAAATGGGTTTCTCAGTTTGAAGGGTTTCGTTTTTACCTTTTAAATATTCCTTCGAGTTATGAAATGAACTTAGTGACGTGTCATCTTCTTCAACGATTTTTATGAGATAATAATCCGAAACACGACTATACGTTTTTGCCATATCTAATCTATGATTTTTATTTGAACATCCTTTTGCACGAGAGTTTTTAAGCGTTGAGAAATGGAAAATTGGAAAAAAAGACCGTCTTTTTATTTAAGGGTATTTTGGGAAGAATATGAATTAGGAGCATATCATTTTTAATACTGGATATTGAAGCATAATTTTTACATATTGAATGTTGTTGAGCATAGAAACTCAAATTCCCCAAATAAAGGTGTTTTAATTAGGTGATGAGTGAACTTTCCAAGAATCATTTCTATGATGCATTTAATAGATAATTTACAAATAAGGAGTTTCTAATTTTTTTTTTAACTTATTAATTTATTTCGGTGTGGTACTGATAATAATGAGTTTTAGTATTTGGATGAGAAAAGAAAAAAACATCTCTATCTATTTTATCAGCTTATCTAGTATGGTACCACCATAAACTAATCCAAACACTTTTTACAAAACTTCAGTTTACCACCATATAGGTAGATAAACACTTTAATAATTATTAAGCTCGATTCGATCTCGAACACAAAATAAATCTCGGCTAACTTAACGAGTCGAACTCCATAACACCAATGTTCGTCTTGACTTGTTCGAAAGCTCGATTAAATTTTACGAGTCAAGCCAAGCCATCGAGCATACACTTTTTCGAGCCAAACATGCGCGCGCACGCGCACACACACACATATATACAAATTCATATAATCAAAATATATAAAATATTGAGCTTGAGTAAATAAACGAGTTAATCAATCTCGAATTCGAGCTCGCAAACGAGTATCTAGCTCGAGTCAAACATTGAAAAAAATATTCGAGCTCGAGCTCGACTTAGACAAAGTTATTTGACCTCGGGCCTGAATTTTGAAAAAGTTAATAGAGCTCGAACTTGATATTACTTCTTCGAGCGGATCTCGAATAACTTGCTACTCGACCCAGCTCTTTTACACCCCTATCTGAAAAACACCTCGATTACACTGCATTCTTTAAAGATTTAACTCATATTATACACTTCATAACAAAAAAAAAAAAACTTAGCAAATGCTTGTTAGAGCTATTAAGTAATAACTAATAAAATGAAGAAAAAAAAAAGGCTGTTTGGTTTTCTATAATATAATGATTTCATTTTTTATACACATCAATATTAAGACTTATTAATTTTTATATTTTTAATGTATGATTTGATCTGATTCTAACGTAAATAAATGTATTAAGATTACATAAAGCATTTATATAGATTGCGAGTAAATTTGGTTCATAAATATGTGTAATAGATAGGAATGGTGTTTTTTCCATTGATGACCTGAGACTTTCCTATCAGATTCTGTCTCTTTATTCAAACCCACTTTATGAAACTCATCTACCCTCAACCAATACAAACCCTTTAAACCACAATCTTCATCTTCACCATTAATCCCCCACCCTGCAACGGTCCAATACTCCACTGTTCTTCCTCCTTAAATCCCACCATCCAACAATCCCAGAATTCAAAATGGGGTTCATCTTCTTCATACCCCTTTTCTGTCTCCTGTTTTCCCCTTCCAGTAAGTTCTTAATCCTTCATCATTCTCTATTTTTCAACAATTTCAGTTCAGTTGATTTGATTTTGTTGTTTGTTTGATTTGAATTTAGGTGCAGAAATTGCAGCTAAACCAGGTGTTAACTATGGCCAACTCGGGAACAACCTTCCGCCGCCGTCTAAATCCGTCGAGATCATCCAATCCCTAAAAGCAGGTCGTGTTAAGATCTACGATGCTAACCCTAAAATCCTTCAAGCATTGAAGAACACCAACATTCAAGTATCGATAATGGTGCCCAACGAAAAAATCACCGCCATCGCCGCCAATCAATCGCTAGCTGACGACTGGGTCAACTCAAATGTCGTCCCGTTTTATCCGGCGACCAAAATCCGGTATCTCCTCGTCGGAAACGAGATCCTTTCGCAACCGGATAACGTCACCTGGTTTAATCTCGTTCCGGCGATGCGACGGATTCGGCAATCGGTGGTACGGTTTAAGCTTAGGAAAATCAAAGTTGGTACTCCGTTGGCTATCGATTGTTTGGAAGCTTCGTTCCCGCCGTCGAGTGGGAAGTTCAGGTCCGGTGTATCGGAATCTGTTTTGAAGCCATTGTTACAGTTCATCGATCGGACTAAATCCTTCTTCTTCATCGATGTTTATACCTATTTTGCTTGGATATCCGACCCGATTAACATTAAGCTTGATTATGCACTACTTGAACCCAATACTTCGACCTACACCGACCCGGTTACCGGATTGCTTTACACTAATCTTTTGGAACAGATGCTTGATGCTCTTTATTTCGCTATGAAACGGGCCGGACATCCGAATACCCGGTTGTTCATCGCGGAAACGGGTTGGCCAAACGGCGGCGATTACGACCAAATCGGAGGAAATATTCGCAACTCCGCCGTGTACAACCGGAATGTGATCAAACGGTTCACCGAGAAACCGCCGCGAGGTACGCCGTTACATCCCACCGTCGTCTTGCCTTCGTTTATTTTCGCTCTGTACAACGAGAATCAGAAAACCGGCGCCGGTACGGAACGGAATTTCGGGTTGGTTTACCCGAACGGGACGAATATTTACGAGATAGATTTGTCCGGTGAGACGTCGGAGTTTAAAAAGTCGTTGCCGGAGCCGACTAATAACGAGCCGTACAAGGGAAAGATTTGGTGTGTGGCGGCGCGTGGAGTTAACAAGACGGCGCTCGGCGGCGCGTTGACGTATGCATGTGGACAGGGTAACGGTACTTGTGACCCGATCCAACCCGGTGGGAAATGCTCCAAACCCGATTCGTTATATTGGCATGCGAGCTTTGCGTTCAGTTCTTATTGGGCCCAGTTCCGAAAATCTGGTGGATCTTGTTACTTTAACGGGCTTGCGGTCCAAACTATCCAAAATCCAAGTAAATTACCATTTTACCCTTCAAATATTTATTATTTTTACAAATTACTTTTAATAGAAAATAAATTTATATCTTTTAGCACATCGATGTTTCTGGTTGAGGCTAGTGGAGGGTTTACTAGTGGAGCGGTTCAAACCCGTCTTCTGCAGTGCATTTAAAGATAGTCACACTGTCTTTTTGTCAACTGAGCTGCATGTCCAAGAACATGTATTTTATACATATAATTTGAATAACCGTGGATGAATATTTTGCAGGTTTTGGATCATGCAAGTTCCCAAGTATTACGCTATGAGATTTTAGGTCGGGAGGAATTGATGATGATCGACGAAATAGGATTCTTTGTATGATCAGCGAAAGACGATGTTGTTTTAATTGTTAACTTTGTCCAATGTATAACTTTTGGAATACGAAACATTGATGTAACGTTAGGAAGAAATTATATTTATGATATGATTTGATGGTAACGAATTTTGAAAAATAATGTAACATTTGTTTTAAGTCTAACGGGTTGTTTAACAGTTGCTGAATGGTTTGGTGCAGAATGATTAAGTGATCAGACTTTTGTAATATAACGCAAAATGAAATATAATTGTTTGGTAATTATTCATAAGAAAATTAAGATGTTGAATGATTAAGAGAGACATAAAATACAAAACCATTCAGAGTGTTTTGAAACCATTAATAAACCGACTTTTTTTGCCAAACAAGATTCACCTCTTAAAGATTCAAATGTTGCTTCTTAGTAGAACTATTAAGAGGTAAATAAATAAGTGTTAAGAATAATTTAAATGAAATGATTGGTTCTAATTGATTTTAAGAGTTATTTTTGGAAGGCCGTATTGTGGATAACTCTTTATTTAATTTCGAAGCATCAAAATAATTTGGTCCTTTTAGACAGACTGTAAGATCAATTTTCCTCGGTTCTTCGCGTCCTAGATTTTTTCGTTCCAATGGATCTCTGAGCGTGTCAAAGGTTTCAACTTGTCGTTGTCAGAATGGTGTGGCGATCAGTTTTCGTTGTCTAATTCGTTTTTCTGTGGGTTTGTTTTTTGTCAGGTTTCTTTTGGTTTTAGGTCTCGTAATCTTCTCCTTTTTGCCGTATCCTTGTCTTGTGTTTGGTTTCGGTGTATTTGGTTGTTTTCTTTGTCTTGCGCGAAGGTTTGTCCTCGAGCTACTGTTATTTTTTATATTCAATTTTCTTGTTCCCATAAAAAAGTTAAAGCAAGAAAAATACTAGAGCATTTAAAGTTTGTAACTTTTGTTAGAAAAATATTGATGTTCATACGAAACTACTATTTAAAATTTCTCTTTTTTTGGTGTATTTATTTAATTCATTTCTTTTTTTATTTAATATTATAATTTTTATAAAGATAATAATCAAATATTTTGTTAGACCTTAATAATTATCTTAATTATATTTTAGATTTTTTATATTTAAAAGATGTTCATCATCTATTTGATTATTTTTATCTATAGTTAGTTACATGAATTTAAATATAAAGTTATAATAAGTTATACTTACGCACAATGTATTTGTAATCTTGAATTTTAAATAACATACATCAATAAACAGTATTGAAAATAATTTTTAAATGTTTTTGTCAAATACTTTATAATATAGTATAAATATAGATAAGGATAAACCGTTAAAAAATAAAAATATATATTTCTCTCATTAATGATAAAATCACATTAAAATATAAGGTTTA